AGGCCAGGGAAAGATGATCAGGCAGGAAGGAAACAGAGATTTGGGTGTGAAACTGAATCTCAGTGCGTGCTTAGGCTCACCTTGACTGAAGAGGTCAGGAAAAGGTGCAAGGATGAACAAGTAGGCTAAGAACTTTGAATTCTAATGAAATCCCCTGAGGATGGCACTTCCATTTCACAGGTAAAAGTCCTAAGTCTTTGGGACAAAGTGTATTATTTAAGGTCATAGATTGTGGAGTCAAGTGGAATTTTCAATCCAGGAGTCAAGTGGAATTTTCAATCCAGTGAGTTTATCACTAACTCACTGTGTCTTCAACTACAGGTCCCATCTAAAATTAGAAAGTTTTACGTATGTCATAAAATACCCATAAGCTAGTATAAAATCCTTTTATTTTAAGAGCATTTAAAACAGCTACATTTTATTTTCACCTAAAACAGATATGTTTGGACATGAAGCTTGTGTATTTCCAAGTGTTGATAGTGAAGAAGATAGCACTGCTATTGCGGTTCTTGTGATCAACTATGAACAAGAGAAATTAACTTTAATATCAATAAAAATCACACAGAAACAGCCTCAAAAGAAAGGGTGCAGTTATGGAAATCTACAGTCTTGCTGAAGATCTGGATCATTAACAGTCATAATAAGCTGGTGTCTGTACTGATTATAATCCAGTTTTATTATAATCCTTTTGATTTAGAACTTTTTTAATTGTGCAAGGCTAAGCTGATTCTCAGCTTTGGATCTGAGGACTCTGAGAGATACTTATTTTTAACAGAAGTCTGAAAGTGTTGACTGCTTTTTGTTTTCAGGAGCCAGGCACAACTCCTAATAGCAAGAACAAGCAGCGCATATGAGCGCACAGCAGTGTGACAGCATGCACAAGACCTGGGCAAGTCCAAGCAGACTAAATCCCAGCAGGAAGAGGCAGTGGGTATGAAGTCCTGTCTCCAGCTGGGGAGTGGTTGCCAACCAACAACTGATGGGAGGGAAGGGTCCGTTTTCCCTAGGAGCGTAGCCCCTGAAAAGCTGACCATGCCTCAGTGGGAGATCATATGTCCAAGAATATCTGGGTAGAACAAACTGGCCTCGATAAGGAAAAACATGAGGGACAGGTAAGTGGGCAAGAAAGTGGCACGGAGACATAGGGCAGACGGAGGAAGGAGTGTGGATATGATCAAAGCCAGACGTGTGGGATTCTCAAAGAACAACAGAAGAGCAAGGTAGCAACAAAGCGGAGCAGCTGACAATGCTGCCATCCCCAGGCCCTGTGCAGAGTCACACACGCACTGCACTTTAATCTTATGATAACAAATTAATATTTCCCCTGTTTAGATAAGAAGCCTGATCTTCAAAGAAGTTAAGCTGATTTAGTACAGGTCTAACTGACATATGATCCAAAGTCTTTGATGTCTACATTTCTTAATTTAAAAAAAATGATTATGCATTTGTGTATGAAGGGAATGGGTTTGTATGTGTGTGTGTGTGTGTGTGTGTTCATGTCACAGAGCATATATAGAGGTCATTGAATAGCCTACAGCAGTTGGTTTTCACCTTCTATCATCTGGGCCCCAAAAATTAAATTTGGATTGCCCATCTTGATGGCAAACACCTTTACCTGCTTAGGCATTTTACTGGTCCCCACATTTCCTCTCTGGTACATGTCAGGGAATTTGTTTCTAAGAGATTTATACTGTTTGTTTCCAAAGTGAGAGTCACGGTAGTTGTTGGGAATTAGTAATGTGTTGGGAGAAAATAAATTTATTTTCTTCATCTGGAAGTAGCAAAGACAATAAGGTAGCCAGGTAGGCTTTGAAACCAAGGCAAGAACAAATGCATTTCTTTCATTTCATTTTTTCTTTTTCTTTCTTTCTTTCTTCCTTCCTTTCTTTCTTTCTTTTTTCTTTTCTTTTCTTTTTTTTTTGAGACAGGGTCTCTCTGTGTGACTTTGGGCCTGTCCTGGTAATTGCTCTGTAGCCCAGGCTGATCTCAAACTCACTGATACTCTAAGCTATGTAGAAAATGGATACTACCTCAGTTCTTAAAAATACATTGTAGACATTGCTCCATTAATTTATGAGTTATTTGCACTAATTTTATTACTGTACATAGTGTTTGCCTTGAAAATCTTTCTGAATCATGCCAGATTTCCACTGTCAAATGTTCTGTAGCATATAGCAGAAATACTCCTTTAAGGCGTACTGGAGTATTTATATTTTGATGATGTTCTATTATTATCTCTCAACCCTGTTTACAAAATGACATATGAACCTATTGGTAGATATACTATAGTAAATAGAAGATAGATAGACAGGTAAATAGCTAGAAAAGAATTCAAAATAGGTTATGTAATATTTTCCTTTCAACAGTGCATTTGGAAGATGGCACCTTACTTTAAATATTAATGACAGAAATTGCTGATATTTAAGTTCCTATGTAGCCTTTAGCATTTGGAAGAGAAAAACATTACAAATTCATTATTCTTCAAAACAACAGCAATCCATATAAAGAGGAAAAGATTGTATTGCCTTAGTGAATTCCTAAGTGAAGCTTTAAAAAAAAAAACCAAGACAACATATATTGGAGAGCTTTAAGCTTCTGACATTTATCCAATGATTCTGAATCAACAATGTTTTATCGTAGTTTTATGATACTACTGTATTTTGCAAAGAAGTATTCAGGGAAAAGCTCATTAAGTATCTATTTTATTTAATAATATAAATTAAATTATAAATGACATGTCTTTTCTCTTTTACAACAGTATTTCTATCAAATGGTGGATCTGATTTTATAATCACTTTTTCAATATAGCATTAGTTAAAAGGCAAAATGTTGAAGACAAACACTTCCTTTCAGTGTGTATTTTAAGCATTTTTTAATTTTAAAGGGAATTTTAGTCAAATTTTATGATCAGGGACATTAGATTAATTAAAATAGTTTGAAACTTTTGTTCAATTCCTTACATGCTCTTGACCTGGTATGACAAATAGATTAGCACATTCAAAGAATCAAGAACAAGATGAAAAAATAGTAATTTTTAAGTCTGGTTTATATACTACACAGGACCACAAAGGTTAGGGTCAAAGTCTGCATGAATTCAACTGTAGGAAGAGGTTTCATTAGAATGGTCTAACTATTCTATACATAAAAGCACTCTAACACTAACTGTAGCAACTTGGTCTCAACATTAGGAAGAAGATTCTCAAGAGCTGGTTGAGATGCTGAAGCTCTTTTCTTAACAATGAGTGTAATTCTAGCTTGCAGAAATGACTCAGCTGCAATTCCAGTTCTGAATTTGGGTGTTCATGGAATACAGCCTTTCAACACTGATTTTCAGATGTCCTCTACTCATGAATCAAGCACCTTTCAAATATTTCCTCCTAAGTGATTGCTGCACATATGAAGCATCACTGAGAATGGGAAGTGGACACAAAGCTCTATGCCTAACCAAGAAGCTTTTTGCAATGAATACTTGCAGTAAAGGGAAAATTTAGTTTTCTCCAATGGATTGCATTGGGTATATCAGTCACATTTTAGGGTAGACCCCATGTCTAGGTATAGCTAAACAATGGGGTATGTACTCCATATTTTTAAGACTTTTAATTTGTTTTTTCATGTGCTTATTTGTTTTGATTTTAAATTTTGTCTTGTTTAGGGGAGAGAGAAAGAGAATAAAAAGATGGGAAGATGAGAAAGATCTGTGAAGAGTTGAGAAAGGTGAAAACATGATAAAAATATAATGTTCTTAAAATCATAAAAATAGCATAAGTATATACATACATTTATATTAAAATATATAAATTAAAATAAATGTGTATCACAGAAACATTAAATCACGCAAAGGTATTCAGTACTGAGCCTGAACTTCTACATCATTGTTCCTTGTACATAGGATGCTTCTCTTTGGAGAACAAGAATGACATTCTTAGGGTTGGATTTGTTGGAGAAATTTTGTATGAAAAATATTTTACAAATAATTTGAGAAGGTCCAAAGAGCCTGGGGTTCTGCATCTTAGAGTGTAATTAATTCCATGATTATGAGCCCTATCTTTCATGAGAAATGTCTGTCTCCTCTTCTTGGGCTTCTTAAATGCCATACATCTTCCTAGTATTCCAGCAAGTGTAAAATGCACCTCTAAAACTTGAAATAGACATTTTTTTCTGAGCTCAAACAAAAACATGTACTTCTAATGGTTGCTCCAATAGTTTTACATAATGCAAAACATTTTAGCATTATTTACACATTTAATTCTCATAGTACTTTTGCAAAATATGACTATTTTACATATGGAGAATTGCATCTTAGAAATATTATTTTTAGTTAAATTTTATAAAATAGGGAAATAAAGTTGTAGAAGTTTGAACTAAAACAGTATTATCGTTGAACTTGCAGATTTCTCAATTTTTGTAAAATTCTGGTCTCACAACTGTAAACTTTAATTATTTACATTCCCCTAGGATATTCTGGGGCTTTCATATCTGGTAGCTACCTAATGCTGCAGATATTTTGGGAGTTGCCAACTTCAGCCACTTGCAATTAGAGTCTGTAGTCACAGTTCACCATTTAAGTTCAAATGCTCAGTAGTCAATCCCTGCATAAACCATCTCATGCAACAGTGCGTTTGCATGCCCACTCATTATCACGTTATTGAATTAGTTACAGTGAACCAATTTTTCCCTGTCTGGTAAGAGGCTCAGTTGGGAGTTCTGCTACATCCCATGTATGATAAGCCTACTGTTGGTGATGCTGGCAGAATACAATCATGATCTGATCGTAGATTAGCAGAAGAATGGTCCTTCAAGTAGATATTAATTTGCTAAATCCTGCACATTTCAGCCTTTGTCCAAAAAAGGTCTCTAGATCTAGAGACATTCTCATAAGAAACGACGATACGGTACTCCCGAATAACAGTTCAGTCCCTGGATTTGATAAGTCAGGTAAGACAAACGTCTGTGGCTTGTTTGCTGCCTCCTTGTTAAACCACAAAGCTGATTTTACTTACGTATTGAAGTGCTCAGAGAAGATCAGGTTGGTGGAGGTGCCAGTGAGTGTTGTCAGCCCTCCAATGGTTGAAGAGTAAGTAATAGATAAACACATGAGTTTACACATCATGTGGTCCCTCTTTGACCGATACGCTACTCCTGTGACTCTGTTCTGTTAATCAGAAAAATACATCATGAGAACAGCTCTACTTGTGGTCAGAACAACATTTCTTATATAATAAATGTGCTACAACTTTCCCGTGTCATATACAAAGGATTGTGTTTGAAGATGGAACCCTTGGTAGATAATTAGAGTTAACGCCATGAGGTGAGATCAAAGCCCCTTTAAAAGGGGGCATTACGATTTCTCTCCACCAAGTGGAAATGCAGGGAGGTAGCCATGTTTGTGTCCAGGAAGCAGTCTTTACCAGACCCCTAAACCTGCCAGATCTGAATCCTACACTTAAGTGTGGTTAATGGGATTTTGTGGTGTTTTGTTGTAGTAGCCTGGGCCGACTAATAACATAATACCTTCTTGTTCACAGAAAAGTAACAATAAAATAAACATTTAAATAAAACATTGAAATACTTCACAAAGATAATTCCTTAACGCTTCTCTTCTGTCTCTAAGCCAACTCTTATAGTTTCCTGATGATATTGATGGTACATGGTCAGTAGGTACCCCACTATAGCTTCCATAATATCCTGCATGCCTATACATGCACACATGTGCTCTCTCCCGCTCCCTCTCTCTCTGTCTCTCTCTCTCTCTGTCTCTGTCTCTCTCTCTCTCTCTCTCTCTCTCTCTCTCTCTGGATAATATAAGTTGGATATTCCTTTTTTTCTGTACTTTTGATCTTATTCTGAAGTAGTTATTTAGTGTTTTCATTTAATGATTCTGTCTGACTTGGTCTCTCCATTTTACTCAAAATATTTGTCCTAGTTTCATTTCTGTTTTGTGAGAAAATATCCTGACAAAAATGCAAGCAGAAAAACCTTACAATTGTAAGCTTAATTCAGCTTACAATTCTAGGTTGCTATCTGGCCTGGCAGAGAAGTCATGGGGGCAGGAGCTAGTAATATCCAACTTGTTTCTGCTCAGTATCACCTTTACACACTATACAGTTAAGGATTTCCTGAACTGTATCCATGTAAATTTTGTACCTTAGAGACATAGGCAGTATTAAACCAAGTTACAGATGAAGACATAAGACACAGAAAGGTTAAATGAATTACCTGGTGTCAGTGCCTAAAAGTGGCAATCCTGGGTAATGAAATTATTGTTTTGCTTTAAAGTACAGAGCTGCAACTCTGATTCTGTGTTTTTTGTTCTCCTTTAAGTATTCTTTTACTCTGCTCATTTATTTCCTGTTACTTAAAGTGCTGCAAATATGTTTAGATTCCTCCCTAACCAAAGCCATAATGTCATCTTCTGTTATCTCTGGCCTGGGTTGATTTAGTAATATCTTTGAGACTCCATGGTTCAACCCTTGATGATTTTAGATTTATTCTTTATGCTTCACTCTTCAAATAAATCTAGGAGCTATATTAGCTCTTGTTATATATTGTGCTGTATTCGTATATATTTTAATATGTAAGGATATATTTACATCTCTAGTATATCAGACACATCTTAAATAGCTAAGAATTGCTATAAGTGCATCCACAGGTTATCTTGGTACCCAGGAACATTTTTAAAAAATACATTTATCCATGTATCTTGGCTATTGTGATAGTGCTACAATGAATAATGGGGACTAGATATTATCCATAACTTTGATTGCATTTCTTTTTGATATGTGCCTAGAAATAGTATTGCTGGATCATAGGTTAGTTCTGCAGTTCATTTTGTAAAGAACCTTTACAGTATTTTATATAATGGCTGCAACAACATATACTCCCACCCACCAGCACAACAGTGTGCATTGGTATTCCATACAGATAAACATGCTAGCTGCGATATCGACAGGGTAAGGCTTTTAACAAACTCATGGTAAGAAAAATGACTGCTCTCTAAAAGTCATCATGGATGTGGAAATGGCATTTAGCATGTCAGGGTCTGGTACTATGGACTATAATTTACCTTTTATTTTTAATTAATTTAAAGGTCATCCCCCATAGGTATTTACTTTTCTCCCAAAAATAAGAAATTTATAAAGACTATTTGCCTTGTATTCTATATGGAAATGATTTGTATTTTTCCATGTGGCTTTTTTCTATTTAAAAGTTACCCAAAATGTATGCAAAATATTGCAAACTTTATTAAAAATTCATTAGTGAATCTAAGTGAAACCTGAAATGTATGGCTTATATATTAAATACTTTTATTATAAAAAAGACATCCAACAACCCAGGAAGTGGTGTATAATTTGGACATTTTTAAACTAATAGGTGCAGAGTTTTGAAAATGTGTTTATGTATTGCTCCCCATTGATGTTAAAGCTTTCAGATTTAAAAACAAATAAAATACAAATTTTCATATGAAAGATGAACTACAAATATTTGCATATAAATATAATTCTTGAAATACCCTTGCAGGTTTGTAATAAAAATAATTTTATAGTGATATGCCACAGTCTATTTCAAAATAAAGAGTGTCAAAGCAGCATTAATTCCAGTGTGCGCACATTAACTGATATTTGTGTAGATATGATAGATTTAGACAGGCAGAGAAGTTTAAGGCCAATTCAAATTTCACAATAAGTAAACATAATCACTAATTGATGACACCCATCAAGGGTTTAAAGAATGCTTTTGGTGTAGAATGGGAGATACACGTTTTTCCCATCCTAGTGAACATAAGCTTTATAACTGAGATTTATTGTCATTTTGTATTGGGCATGGGAAACTGAAGTCAACCAGTTACACTGAAGCAAGGAGAGCCAATTGCTAATACAGAAATTATATAAAAAAGAAAGAAAGTTTTACAACAAATTCATCGTTGATGTCCTCTTAAGACAATAACTTGAATCTAGAACCAAGTGTTTGACACCAGATCAATAAGAAGCTGGATTGAATCACTTGAAATAGACAGTTAGCCCCTGCCCAAGAGGACACACGTGTTTGCAAATAAGGGATGAGAAAACCATCACTCTGTGGCTTCATAGAGGAGGTTTTTGGTGAATGTTGTATGTTTGCTTTCTACTGAGTCGGGTGTTGGGGAAGGAGAATATGAATATAAGAATTTAAAAAAAAAGGAGGATTAAAATAAAAATGTGAAGCATCTACAAAGATGAGTTATGAAGTGACCAGAAAGACTCTTGTGCCAGGGTGATGAGGGGACTCTGGTGTCATGGGTGTGTTACGAATGGGAGAGTGCTTATGTCATAAGGTGAAGGAGACTTCAGTGAAATAAGGTAGACAGGTTAATATATGTTTTCAAACACAAAAATATACACACATGCACATAGGTGACTAGAGATTATGCTAAAAGATATGCCAAAAATTTTAATAATAGTATTTCTTGATGATGTAATTATAGTATCGGCTGCCTTGTTGATGTATTTTATATTCTCAGCAATTATAAGAATGTGTTTTTTGACATGTAAAAGGGTTGGTTATAGGCTACTATAGCAGACAGATATTTATATTTGACATGGAACAAACATTATTTTTTTCAGACAATAAAATAAGCCTTAAATGTGACAGCCATTCACCACAGAACTGAAGCCACAGATCCTGCAACATAGATCCCTCTCAGTGATTTCTTCACTACACCACTGCCTTTCAATGGGTTTCTTATCTATGTAAGGTTTTAAAACTACTTCTAAGAGTTTGACCCCATTCCAATACCTGCCATACAGTAGTGTTTTAGTTAGTACACGGAGATATGACATCTAAGACCTTGCTAGTGTTTTTCCAGATCTGAGTAACTGAAATAGTTCCAGTTCAGTCACGACCAAATGCAGAAATCTGTGGCATAATCAAAGACAAGTCAGAAACCTAGGTATCACTTTGTGATGCCTCCTGGTGGCAAAGATAGTAGATGCCAGGAGCAAGATGCACACTTCCAACTTTGAATGTTGAAATTGTGCATATGAATTACCAACAGCTAACCAATAATCTCTAGAGACCCCACAGAATGTAATGATCTGAATACACTGTGAACACATCAAGACTTCTGTTTATATTCCAATCACTATAAAACGATGATTATGGAGGCTGTTAGTTCTTGCTATGCAGTTTCAGCTTGCCAACAGCTAGCTTACAGTCTTGCAGATCTTATTGTGTATATGTGCACCCGCCTTAGTATTCACACACTATCAATTCTTTTTTGTACTAGAGAGTGAATCTAGAACATTGCATGTGCATCTTTGGGTTTTTTTACTTTTCTATTTAGAGATAAGGTGACACTAAGCCCCTTAGGCTGATCTTGAATTCACTCTGTAGCCCACCCAGGCAGTTCTTGAGCTGGAAATTCTCCTGCATCATTCTCCTAAGCAGCTGTAAATACATGCCTGCACCACCAGTCCCAGCTCGGGACATATTCTGCTTTCTCAGATATAGGCATTGCAACACAATTTTTATATTCCATGTAGGCAGCATTTAACATTCCCCCCCGCCCCACCAGCTTACTTCCCTCAACACACCTAGACTTTCTATTCTTCCATGATCTTAACATTATAAATAGCATAATTTGGATTAGGGTAGAGTTCAGTGTTTCAGTGAATATGAAAAACCTGGATAGGAATAGATACATGGATAGAGAGAAGCAGACAAAAGAATTTATAAAATAATATATACCACTCTTTTCCTGGCATTTTTTGGTTTTGTGGACAAACCACTCAGTTCTAACTATTCCCTTCTGTAGATTTTCTCCCATTGCAATCAAATGCTAGGCTACTTTAAACACATCAAATAGTCTCCAGTGTTGTCATCTAGGTATGATATCTGCCAGGACATCTTCATCTGGTCATTTCCCTTAGAATTCCAAAGAGTGAACTAGATAACTCCTACTTCACTGCTGATTTTGTTGGGCATTGATATTGATGGGATATGGTGCAAGCATAACTTGGAATTTTGAAGGCGCAATTTGGTTTTCTATTGTCTCTAATATTCTGTGTAAATAGAGAGAAGTATTCAACTATCCATATTTTTTAAGTCTTTTAAAAGGAATCAGTCTCCATTCCCTTTGCTTTTCTGAAAGCTGGAAGCATGTGGCGTACTCTTTCT